TTTCTACCCACGTTATCCTCATCATCCGCCTATAACACCACATTTCGAACGCTTCTAACCTTTTCTTTTCCGCCGCGCCCACTGTCCATATTTCCCACCCGAACAGCGTCGCGCTCCAAACATACACCTTTAACAACCTTTTTCGAATTTCTAAATTAATCGTTCGCGAGCATAGAAGTGACTTCTGTTTATTAAGGGCAACAGGACCCTACGCTATCCTCTACTTTATATCCCTACTACTTCTTCCATCCTGACTTATCTGACTTCCTAGATCTAAAATCAGCCACAATTTGACAATTTAAGCATACTAATCCTTTGCCCCTGCATATCTATTTCTACAGTTGTACTGTCGTTAATTATGTTTTTTATATAATATACACAATATTATGTGATAAATATTTGGTCGTATCTATTTATACCTGGATTATAATAAACAAAGATCTTTCATTCTTTGAAAAATTATCTGGGCAAGGTTCATATAAAAGTTAATTTATGTATATATTGTAGGATTTTTACTTAAAATATGTGTATTTCCTACTCAAGACTTATTTATATTCTATTACGCATTAATAAATATGTAAATGAGTAACGGCAATGCTAAGATTTACGTTGCAGTTGGCACAAATTATCTAAACAAAATTTATGTCTAGCAACAAGTGCAAATCTTAAAGAAAGTGTGACGGTATAACTCCTGGGCAATTAAAGTATCATTAGTACTTGCGATGTCTAACTAAAATAAATGCATGAGTAAGTCCCAAGGTACCTACTCGCAGTCGATCACGTGTCTGTTAATTTTTGTAAACATACAGAGTGTATCAAAATCTACATGAACTATTAAAGAAACAAGCGATATATCAAAGGTATTACGCAGTATCTTTTAAAGTTCGCAATATTTTATGGCATATGAGCAGTTAAATCAGCAAAAAAAAAACTTGTCAAGGAATCGAGTCTCGACGATTTTTTCCCGATTTTTCCGAGTATAGTTTGAGTTCCTCCCCAAAATCAATCCCAAAACGTACAATTACAACTCCAGACTTGAGTATTTTATATTAATTTCAGCTTGATACCTTCAGGCGTTCCTGAGGGAAAGGGTTTGACAGATAGACAGACGAACTGACAACGAAGTAAATCTATAAGGGTTCCTCCTTCTTCCTTTTGAGGTAGGGAACTCTAAAAATATGAAATTACCCTTAAATAACTGTGTAACTTTAACTCTGACTCTGAGTACTCTAATTACAAGTCTGAAACTTCGTGAATGACCACATTTTCCTCTGTAAAACATAATCTATAAGACTAGCAATAGACGACATAGGTTGGTAGGACACCTTCTCAGGTACGAAGGTCTAGTCAGAGACATATTAAAGGCAGAAACGGGAGTTAAAAGGGGTAGAGGTAGACCTAGATTAGATTAGTGTTCGCAAAGTTTGTCAGTCCAAAGACTAGTTGGATATGCACTTCCACTCCTTCCTATCCTGAGCTAATCTTCGCTTTTCCCTAAAACTAGAACATCCACATCCTTACTATTTGCGAACAGTAATCTAATCTAGGTCTACCTATACCCGTCCTAACCCGTTTCTTCGTCTAATATGTCCCTGACTCTTGACTTGCATAGAGTCCTCTGTTCTCCTATTCTATCTAACACTTCTCCATTTCTAATCTTCTCGATCGACGGTATTCTCATCATTCCCCTGTAACACCACATTTCGAACGCTTCTAACCTTTTCTTTTCCACTTTTCCCTTCCACGGTCCATATTTCGCACCCGTACAGCGTCGCACTTTCTCAACATTTTCTTCCGTTGCATACCAGTATTTTTGTTTTATTTATTTTCATACAATATGCGGATAAACATAACTGCAATATTTTTACATATGGAATTGGTAGAAGGAAAAGCCAAAATGTCAAAAAAGTAATTAACAAAAATGGTCAGAAAATGCTTCCTGAACAACATGAGATTTTTTGAATTTTGAGGTTAGGATGGGAAGCTAAATATCTATCTTAAATTATTGTAAAAAGTGTCTACTACAAGTTTCAGACTTGTAATCATTATAAGTTGTACAACCCGCATTTGAATTTAAAAAATACAACGAGCTTTTGGTTTCTGAGCTTTAACAGTTCCATAGTATATGTATTATTGTTCTTCTACTTAATAGAAATAGTTGGTTTGCACTCTGCTTGAGCTAACTATTAATATAACGTGTTGAAAAGCTTCTTCTTTGTTTCGAACATTTTCAAGTAGCATTCCTATGCCATCTACATATGTACTTCCAATTGCGTTGAGCGCATCGTTAGTGACTATGCTTATAAATATAACCCAAAAATTGTCCATTGGGTTGCCCTGTTCTGGTTAATGACGTTTTGGCACAAAAAGGATCTTATTAATTTCACAACTAGACTGGGAGTCTGCTGTTTTTGAAATGTTCTAATTACACCATCCTCGACATTCAATATGATTAGTGATTACTAACAAAGTTTCTAAAGTAGGAGATATTTTTGGCATCCTAAACAGATGAGTCACCTTCATTTCATTATATGCAGACCGATCTTAAGACGATTGTTTTAATAAATGTAATAATATTTGGGGTAAATGATAAAGGCTGGGACTTTTCCCGTGAAAATTTCATGTATTATCAGGCATCAGTTGTGTAACCAATCGGCCGGCACTCTTTTTTGAGAAGCAGATACATGATTCGCACTTTTGTTTTAATTCAAACTATTGATGGTGCATCATACGTATCAATGAGAGCAAATTAAATTTTTTCAACCCACTTTATTAAAATTTTTGATTTTTGACGACTATTTAAAGAGAGTATCAGCCGACTGTCAATAAAATGTATTGCAAAATTTTTAATCAATGAAAGTCTAAATTTACATTTTTCTTGGCTCACACATACACTTGTATATCATAATATATGAATTCGTAATAAAATTATTTCGTCTTTGATCTTGTACCGACTGAGTCTTTAAAATTATGAGGCGAAAACCATCAAAAGCAACTTAAGATTATCCATAAAATTACTCAAACAAATGATCTTGTTATTGTTTATGTCATAAGAAGAAAATAAAACACAAAAGATAAGTTTCCCTTGATAAGGTTTTTAATTCGTTCTGTCGATGACCGACATCCTGTAATAACTTTTGTATTTCTCTCTATAATAGTCGCTATCGAACAAAACGATTTCACTGAGAACTAATAAATCTTTTTAAAGTAGTCCAGCCGGGTTATTAATAATAGTAAAATCATCAACTAAATCTACATAAGTAAACTACTAAAAAAATGAAGTTGATAATATTTTGCACAATAAATTTAATTAGATATAAAATTTGATCAGCTTAGCTGTTTCCCATGCGACAACTGGAAACGTTTCGGTGAATTCGGATTACCTTAATTT